AATGACATCCCTGACACACAGGCAGTACAAAACACCGGTCACAAAAATCCGAATTCTTTGAACAATTACCGGGCAATGACAAGTGCACAACAAAGTAGCGTTTCGCCTATGCTTTGTAACACAACTGACAACAATCTGACAGATCGAGCTCAAAACAGTCGCGTCCCATGTGTGTACCGACAATCCAACATGTGTGCTCAACAGACATCCGAAAGATCTTTGTTTACAGGAAGTGTTATCCATGGCGGTGTGTTCAATATCACAGTTAACAATCACACTAATCCAGTGGTAAATCCACCTCTTCGGGGATTCAGACGTCTAATCATAACAGACTCTGTGACGAGGAAATGTAAGCTCCTTCAAAGACTTCGTGGCAACAAGTTTCTTTGATTCGAACTGTGACGTCATATAGGGTATATATATACTCATAAATATCGGCTCGAAATTGACTTTCTGCATTATATTCTTCTTATTATGTACGGTTTTAATGTTGTTAGATTCCTAATATTGTAGATACAATTTGATCTTCACTGTGAATTACGTTTTCTTCTTTGTAAGGACGAACTACATTGTTTACGCGGAAGCATACAGACCTGGCTTTAGAAGTGAAGAGGCCGTATTTGGTTGAGGCCCCGACGGGATACGGATAGACAATGGCGAAATTGAATACTTTTTTTATTTAAAATTTGCAAAAAAAATTAATTAATTACCTGTAACTGAGCGAGATCGGGTTATCTCAGTCGAGGGCTAGGATCCTGTAACATCCCAACCTCGGCTTACGCCTCGGTTGAGATTTTGTTACAGGATCCTAGCCCTCGACTGAGATAACCCGATCTCGCTCAGTTACAGGTAGATTTTATTAGTGATGTGATAAATATGTGACACGATACATATGTGATGTAATACATATATGATGTGATACATATGTGATGTGATACATATGTGATACATATATGATGTGATACATATGTTATGTGATGTGATTTATATGTGATTTGATACATATGTGACGTGATACATATGATATGTGATGTGATATATATGTGATTTGATACATATGTGACGTGATACATATGTGATGTGATACATATACGATGTGATATATGTGAATTACAAATAGCATGCCTGACATAATCATTAGATATTAAAAATAAACAATATAAGATTGTCTACTAGCGAACGAACGTAATATTTGTGTTTCGTCGGAGGCCTATCCTTCGTCTTGGTAGTTCCCCTAACCGTTATGAATCTCATCAACTGTTTACCTATTGAAGGAATAATGTTTATTATTTTACAGTATAGCATGTCGATAAATATAATATTTCCCTACTTATTTATAAACCGTCCCACTTACTACACATAATCCTTATAGCGAATCCTACCCTGATTTAAAGCGACCCCTTTCAATCACCCCTCCCCCCGCTAGCAATTCAATCGTTATGACAAATCCTACCTTACCTTAACACACACACACACACACACACACACACACACACACACACACACACNACACACACACACACACACACACACACACACACACACACACACACACACACACCTTTAACTACACAAGTCATCCGAAAAAGTGATATTTTTTCAGCTATGCATTGTAACATTTTGCTGAAGAAATTTAAGAAATTGGGTCGAATCTAGTACATTTTAAGGAAGGGGGGGTGCCAACATTTTAAGTTATATGAATGTGTAATTTACTTCGAAGGGTTATGTACAGGTAACAAAGACGATAAGTTCTTCAATAGGGACGTTGGGCATGTCCTCCAAACCACTGGGAATCACTGAATTCTAGCAATCTGAAGCATTTTGCGACACATCTTTAAAATATAATTTAATCAATTCTATGTCATTTTAATAATGATTGTTAATATTCAGTCATAAAAAACCGTCCAGTGGATGCAAATTAAAATGTAAGAACGCATTGCAGGGTGTAGCGTGACGCTTTTATCTTAATTCAGCGCATGTCAATTACAGTTTACAATCAATTCAATATAATTGTAAACTCTAAATTTTGATGACATATTGCATTTTAGATGGCTCCGACAAGCACCATGTTCCTGCTATTACTTGTCATGGGGGTGATTCCTGTAAAGAGTCAGGACCACTGGGAGGACACTCGAACAGGTAAAATTCCTGCCTGTCTGCCAGAAACATGTAGGAAAGGTCAGGACATCTGCGAGTGCTTCCTGACCATCGAACACCGACTTACCATGATGTATGAAAAGGAAAAATCGCTTGTGGTTTCTAAAGGTGGCCGGTTGTACAGATTCAACTCTACTGAGAACAACCCGATAGCTAACTCGGATGACCTTCCCTTCATACTGACCTTGGATGGAAATACCTCTCGTGTGGTTATTGCCATAAATCGCCTGTTCCCGGGTCCACAGATAACGGCGTACGAGGACCAGACTTTGATCATTCACGTCCGAAATCTGATGCACACAGATAGCACTACGGTGCACTGGCACGGTATGCAACAACTTGGAACCCCGTATTCGGATGGAGTAGCAATGGTATCCCAATGTCCACTAGGTCACGGTCAAGAGTTTACTTACAAGTTCAAAGCTAAGCCGCACGGTACCAGCTTTTACCACGCTCATATCGGTGATCAGCGCACTATGGGGCTCTATGGAGCTCTCATCGTGTACCCTAAACAAGAACTCCCATCTGCAACCGATGAAGAGTTTGTGGCTGTGATTCAAGACTGGAACCACGATGATGACGCTTCAACGTTGTATCAGCGTATGCTGTTTGGAGTATTTAACCAGAATCAGAATCCAAAGACTCGATACGTAACAACAAATTCAGTTGACGGTGGTATGTACAGCAGGTACAAATTCCACTCAGGAATAGTCAACGGTAAAGGCCGTTACTACCTAACACCAAGTATGCATAACCAGGCTCCGTTGACCGAGTTTGAAGTGGACGCTAACAAGAATTACACTTTCCGAGTGATCAGCGCAGCAACACTCTATCCGTTCCGTGTATATGTTGAAGGACATCCGACATTAACTGTTGTGGCTTCTGATGGTTTTGCACTGAAACCCATTACTGTCGAATCGTTCGTTATCAACCCAGGAGAAAGGTATGACTTTATATTGTTGACAAACCAGTCCCCAGATGACTATTTGTTGGTTGCAGAGACACTGGAAGTCGAAAGCGAAATCGCAAGACGTGGTGAATACCACGTGGCAGAAGCTATTATCCATTACAGAGAAAAGAAGCCAAGGAACCCAAATCCGAGCAAACCTGTTAGGAATCGATGTACGGCGACAAACAAATGCGTGATATTTAACTGTCCTTATCTGCTTCCAACATCAGCAAATGAAAGTTGTCTGACGTACAATGACGCTAGAACAAACGATTTTAACTCCGCCCCAGAAGATGTTTCCAAAGTCGACCAAGAGTATTTCTTTAACTTTGCCTTCCCAGGTGAACATGGTTTCACACCAGGGTCGGTGAATGGTCATCAATTCGTACCACCTATAGCACCGTTATACTCCCAGCCGGAAGACCTGACTACTGTCTGTGATTCGAACTGCGCTGACGATAAAATATGTTCGTGCACGTACACCCAGACCATTGAGAATGGGAAGGTGTATCAGTTTACATTGACCAACGTTGGGAGGGGTAAAGGGTGGTCACATCCCGTGCATCTGCACGGACATTCATTTTACGTCATGAAGATGGGTTTTGGCCAGTATGATTCTCATGGAATCCTGACTAATTCAACACCGGATATATCGTGTTCACGCGGATCAAAAGAGTATTGTAACTCTCCGATATGGGCTAACGAGACTTGGAATGGAGGTAACGTGCCAAATCTCGTTCTAAACGATACTGCACAGAAGGACACCATCATCGTCCCTACTCACGGCTACGTCGTCATCAGATTCAAGGCAGACAACCCTGGTGCCTGGTTTTTCCACTGTCACATCGACCTACACAACACTAACGGTATGGGGATGGTGATAGTCGAATCCCCGAAGTTGTATCCCGCCAAACCAAAGAATTTTCCCATCTGTGGAGACTTTCGAAGCAATAGCCAACCGCTAACATCATCTGGTAAGTATACCTTTTATACTTAATACCTGATATTTTTATAATTTTTATAACCAAAAAATTAAAATTAAAATTAAAAAAAACTTCCTGAAACGAAAATGTAGTAAGAAATGCAACAATCGATTGAATAATGAATGGTAACTTTGTTTTGAACAAAACAGTAATTGAAAAAAAGTATTTTGCGAGCTTTTGAAAACGTCTGTTTCCTTTGTCAAGGAAAGAGTGCAAATCAACGGTGTCTCGACTCTACACCGTTGAAATAACTCACTAAGCCAAAATGTGCCGAGTCAGTTAAAATCAGCTGTCGGAAAATATGGATACGTTTCGAAAAATAGTACTCCAATACTGCAGGCAGTCAGAGGGAAGGGTAATATGTTTATAGCACTCCAATACTGCAGTCAGTCAGAGGGACAGGTAACATGTTTATAGCACTCTAATACCACAGGCAGTCAGAGGGACAGGTAACATGTTTATAGCACTCTGATACTACAGGCAGTCAGAGGGACGGGTAACATGTTTATAGCACTCTGATACTACAGGCAGTCAGAGGGATGGGTAACATGTTTATAGCACTCTGATACTACAGGCAGTCAGAGGGATGGGTAACATGTTTATAGCACTCTGATACTACAGGCAGTCAGAGGGATGGGTAACATGTTTATAACACTCTGATACTACAGGCAGTCAGAGGGACAGGTAACATGTTTAGCCCTTCCACCCTTTTAGTGGATATTAAAATAGGGTCATAAAGCTGACTGCAATGTTGTCCCCTCGTGTGTGTTCATCGATTCCCCTTCCCTCCTTACACAGGAATCGGTGGGATAGTTTCCTCATTGAAACTGAGGAACCGGATAAAATGGTACGGACTCTCGGACAAATAATCAAAAGGTCCCGCTATTAAACGACCTTGCTTTTGTTTACATGTCATCACCTACATGTACAAACATGTGCTATTTATCTTATCTAGTTGTACAATAACGATAACACACATACTCATTTATTGATACCAATGTACACCAGTAACACTATGTATATATGTTTGTCTAAATGTAGGTACCCCTTCCACCACTGACATATATACGGTTTCGTTAACATTCCTGCTCTTAAATACAAGCACGGTGTAAGAGACTTCGTTGTAGAAGATACATTGCAAATTGGTTAAGTCCAGGCAAACAGATGGTTTCAGTTCTCATCCCGGGACGATTGTACATTTTCAGAGATATATCATTATCCTTTTATCCTTGCTACTTCAAATCCTGACCTTCACCAAGTTTGGATATCAGAACAAGCTAAAACATATCTAGAGCTTAGACTGTGTCTAAATAAACAATCAATTCGCGCGGAGCATTTTTTTATTGCAAGGTTCTTTTTTGTCATTTTTCTAAAATTAAAACCAAAAAAATGATAGTAAGAAATTGATGATGCAAACCTTTATGAAAGTAAATAGTATAAACATCATGTCCGTACCTACTTGTAAGTACATGTATAAAAGCCTTTTTAATTGGTAATTTTGTTATAGATTGTTAACTTCCATAGTTTCTGCTGAATATTAGTTTTTAAATTAAAAATTTGCTTACACGAAAATAAGCTTTTTGACAAATTTTGGATGTAAAAAAGTAATACTTTTGTTATTCCGATTTAAATGCATACTATCGTTATTCTCAATTATATGCATACAATTGTTATTTTGATTTTTAAGCATACTATTGTTATTCTGATTTATATGCATACTATTGTTATTCTTTATTCCGATTTATATGCATACTTAAGTTATCCCGATTTATATGCATACCTTAGTTATCCCTATTTATATGCATACTTTAGTTATTCCGATTTATATTCATACTTTCGTTTAAAAAATGATGCTTGGGTTGATACATGTAGATATTGGCGATTTTTTTTACCACATTCAATGTTTGTTTTACACTTTCTATTCCCGTCGTTTTTTCTTCCCTCCTTTCTCTTTTTTCTCCCGTCGGGTGTGGAAGTTTAGTGTTTTCAAGATCAAGATATTATACATCCTCCCCAAATGACGGACTAAATATGTATACACGGCAAAGAACTAAGCGTTGGATTACATCGTTTCAGGTTCGACTTTGAAAGACGACTGGAAGGCGTTTGTATCTACAGTTTGGGCGGCGATAGCTTTCCTTGTAATCCGGAACATACATGTTTAAAATATTATATAGTACAATGTAACTGAACCCCGATATACAAACATCAGGATCCTCGTACCACTGCCGAAATCTGTAACCAAGTTCCAGCGTAACTATAGCTTTAATACATCTTTAACTAAGTTCCAGCGTAACTATAGCTTTAATACATCTTTATCTAAGTTCCAGCGTAACTATAGTTTTAATACATCTTTAACTAAGTTCCAGCGTAACTATAGCTTTAATACATCTTTAACTAAGTTCCAGCGTAACTATAGCTTAAATAAATATGTAACTAAGTTCCAGCGTAACTATAGCTTTAATAAATCTGTAACTAAGTTCCAGCGTAACTTTAGCTTTAATAAATATGTAACTATGTTCCAGCGTAACTATAGCTTTAATAAATCTGTTACTAAGTTCCAGCGTAACTTTAGCTTTAATAAATCTGTAACTAGGTTCCAGCGTAACTATAGCTTTAATAAATCTTTAACTAAGTTCCAGCGTAACTATAGCTGTAATAAATCTGTAACTATGTTCCAGCGTAACTATAGCTGTAATAAATCTGTAACTAAGTTCCAGCGTAACTATAGCTTTAATAAATCTGTAACTAAGTTCCAGTGTAACTATTACTTTAATAAATCTGTAACTAAGTTCCAGCGTGACTATAGCTTTAATAAATATGTAACTAAGTTCCAGCGTGACTATAGCTGTAATAAATCTGTGACTAAGTTCCAGCGTAACTATAGCTGTAATAAATCTGTAACTAAGTTCCAGTGTAACTATAGCTTTAATAAATCCGTAACTAAGTTCCGGCGTGACTATAGCTTTAATAAATCTGTAACTAAGTTCCAGCGTAACTATAGCTTTAATAAATCTGTAACTAAGTTCCAGCGTAACTATAGCTTTAATAAATCTGTAACTAAGTTCCAGCGTGATTATAGCTGTAATAAATCTGTAACTAAGTTCCAGCGTAACTTTAGCTGTAATAAATCTGTAACTTAGTTCCAGCCTAACTATAGCTTTAATAAATCTGTAAATAAGTTCCAGCATAACTATAGCTTTAATAAATCTGTAACTAAGTTCCAGAGTAACTATAGCTTTAATAAATCCGTAACTAAGTTCCAGCGTGACTATAGCTTTAATAAATCTGTAACTAAGTTCCAGCGTAACTATAGCTTTAATAAATCTGTAACTAAGTTCCAGAGTAACTATTACTTTAATAAATCTGTAACTAAGTTCCATCGTAACTATAGCTTTAATAAATCTGGAACTAAGTTCCAGCGTGACTATAGCTTTAATAAATCTGTAACTAAGTTCCAGCGTAACTATAGCTTTAATAAATCTGTAACTAAGTTCCAGAGTAACTATTACTTTAATAAATCTGTAACTAAGTTCCAGAGTAACTATTACTTTAGTAAATCTGTAACTAAGTTCCAGTGTAACTATTACTTTAATAAATCTGTAACTAAGTTCCAGCGTGACTATAGCTTTAATAAATCTGTAACTAAGTTCCAGAGTAACTATTACTTTAATAAATCTGTAACTAAGTTCCAGCGTGATTATAGCTGTAATAAATCTGTAACTAAGTTCCAGCGTAACTTTAGCTGTAATAAATCTGTAACTAAGTTCCAGTGTAACTATAGCTGTAATAAATCTGTAACTAAGTTCCAGCGTGACTATAGTTTTAATAAATCTGTAACTAATTTCCAGCATGACTATAGCTGTAATAAATCTGTAACTAAGTTCCAGTGTAAGTATAGCTGTAATAAATCTGTAACTAAGTTTCAGTGTAACTATAGCTTTAATAAATCTGTAACTAAGTTCCAGCGTAACTTTAGCTGTAATAAATCTGTAACTTAGTTCCAGCCTAACTATAGCTTTAATAAATCTGTAAATAAGTTCCAGAGTAACTATTACTTTAATCAATCTGTAACTAAGTTCCAGAGTAACTATTACTTTAATAAATCTGTAACTAAGTTCCAGTGTAACTATTACTTAAATAAATCTATAACTAAGTTCCAGCGTGACTATAGCTTTAATAAATCTGTAACTAAGTTCCAGCGTGATTATAGCTGTAATAAATCTGTAACTAAGTTCCAGTGTAACTATAGCTTTAATAAATCTGTAACTAAGTTCCAGCATAACTATAGCTGTAATAAATCTGTAACTAAGTTCCAGTGTAACTATAGCTTTAATAAATCTGTAACTTAGTTCCAGTGTAACTATAGCTTAATTAAATCTGTAACTAAGTTCCAGCGTAACTATAACTGTAATAAATCTGTAACTAAGTTCCAGCGTAACTATAGCTTTAATAAATCTGAAAAGAAAACGATACCTTGGGGGAATTTTATGAGAAATAATAAAGATGAAAATATATATACAATGTATAATCGACATCAGTGTTCTAAGTGGAAAAAAAGTACAGCAGGGCTAGACCGGGTTCCAACTCTGGTGCCGTCTGTGTTGGAGAAGATCACTACCACGATCTCAAATTAAATATCTTCAAGCTATGACCCCCCCCC